TCAGACAGATTATGGAAAAGATGAAGAGTGGAAGGAGCCCAAGAAATCCGAGCAGCCATACCCAGCAAGTGGTTGGTTCATGGGCTGGAACCTTGTGGAAATCTAGGTCGCAATTTGGTCATCTATATAATGAGGGGATTCGTCAAGGAAGCCCCTGAAGGGCCCCTCTAGGGTTTGGGGTGCTTAGTTTTGCTGGAGTCAGGGTGAGCGCACCTGCGGCTCAGCAGCGACCCCTGGCGGCCCTAGGAGGCACTGCCTCCTCCCGCAGCGGGGCCACTCCAGGCGGGTTTGCCACTTTCCTTCCAGACCTGAGCCGCCAGAGCCAGGGAAGGGACCCCCGACAAGGGCCCCCTGCAGAGCGTGGGCATACAGGATGTCTATTCTTCACCGAAGGCTAAAAGGATCTTGCCCCTCCTCTCTTCTGTACACTGCCTGTAACTTCCATTACAATACTGCTGCATTGGGCCCTCGAAGAAGACGCCCCCAAACCCTCCTGAACTGGCTCCACCTAACCCTTCTGGCCCTGGAGCAAAGGGAGCTAAATGGGTCCCTGAGCGTCAGGACTGGAGTCCTCATAGCATCTTCCCAGGATCTAGCTGCCCGGAGTCTAAACAAACTTCTCTTTCTCCCGGCTACCCGGCGCTGTCCACGACGCCTCCAGGAAGGCCGAAGATTGGAGGATCTGCCAGGCACCAATGACCGATGGACCCAGCACCTGCCTCAGCGACCCGAACTCATTTTTCCTCCCACCCCCAACCCTACCCCAACCCTGACCTCACTCCTATCTCCTGACCCAAACCTGTTCCCTCTGGTCCCGCCCTTTTCTGCCTCCAAACCAAGCTAGTCCTACCTCCTCCCATTGTCTCTGTACCCAACCCTTAATCACACCGCCCTCCGCCTTCCTCGGTTCCACCTTCTCCCCCCCTGGTCCCACCTCCTACCCGAGATGACCCCGCCCCTTTAGTGCCCAGCAGCAGCCCAGCCCCCCTGGACTCTACCCTCTCCATCACAAGACTCACCCCTTCGCCTCGGGCTCCAATCTCTTCCCTTGGCCACGCCCACCTCAAATCTGGCTCCTCCCT